TATGTGCAAGGAAAACCCTAAATTCGGGACATGGAGCCTATTTAAGCACCTCATTCTCCTCCTTGGGGTTCCTTTACTGCCTCTCTAACCCATAACACCAAACCCTAGCCGCTATATTCATTGTTTGAGCCAATTATTGCCTTGGAAAGTGCATTAAAGCTTGGAGAAGGAAGAAGGAGCTTGGAGGTGCAAGAAGGGACTATAGATCTGGGATTGGGAAGATATTTCTGAGTATTTGGAGGTAATCAACTAGTTCTTGGACTCTTTTGCACTTAGATCTATGTGTGGGTGTTGGGGCTTTTTAGCCATAATGGTATCCATTTGAGTTAGAAGCCAAATCTGAAGTTGCTACTTCGGATCTAAGTATATTATGGTATTGAGAAGCATAAAGTATCTGCCCTTGAGTTGATTATGGAGCCTCTTTGGCTTAAACCATACTTTATGGTGTATTTTACCTAGATCTCCTTCTCTACACGTAAAGTTTGCAACTTTACGTGAGTAATAGTCTTGGGAATGGTAGATCTACAGTTTGGAGTCCATGGATGACTCAAAAGTCCTCTGCATGTAAGAAGATCTGAATGGACTCGGCGAGTCCTTTGTGTGGACTCGGCGAGTAGCATGAAGATTAGGAGCAACTCGACGAGTGGGATGAACAGCTCGTCGAGTCAGATGAAGATTGCCTTGTACTCGGCGAGTCAAGTCGCGATACCCCAAACCCTTCGAGATGAGACTTAAATCAGTGAGTCGAATGGAGACTCGGTGAGTTGGACAGGTCAGGACTCAGAAATCGGTAGACTCGGCGAGTCATGGATTGACTCGGCGAGTCGAGACGCGAATGGAAGGACTCTGAACATATGAACTCGGCGAGTCGGTAGGGTGACTCGGCGAGTAGGGTTGACCTGGAAGGTTGACTTTGACCAGGACTTTAACTTTGACCAGAGTTGACTTGGTTGTCTCTCGGGGTCAGTTACTCTCAGTGTTGCATTGATATTGGTAGTTCGGGGAGCAAGGGGAGCAGGAGTTCAGAGAGTTGTCGGGCAACAACTAATGAGATCATCAGCAAGTTCAGCTAGTGCAGGTGAGTTTCCCTTTGCGTGAATGGGTCTAAGGCCACAATATCGGCCCATGTAGTTATGAGTAGAAGGCCCGGGGGTTAGCCCTAGGCATAGTATGCTAGTATGATATTCAGGACGAGGTCCATTAATAGCGGGCAGGTGCCAAAGGATTTGTTTATATGATAGTTTATACTTGTTGTCTGTGTGATACATGTATGTGCCTGGTAGGGAGGTGAGTGTGGACGAGGTCCCGTATCTCACCAATAGCAGAGTGTGGATGGTGTTCCACATTTCATTAGTAGCAGAATAGGGGGGAGGCCCAAGTTAGGGAAAGAGTGAGAGTGGGTTGGGCCTGTATCTCACTACCAGTAGGAGCGTGGACGGGGTTCCATGACTCATCAGTAGTAGGACAAGGGCGAGGCCCAGGATAGGCGAGGCCTTAGGAAAGGATCAGTCGTATGAGTTTAGCTTATGTGTTTGTGATATGTTTACGTGTTATTATTTGTTGGCGGGCGGGGCCCTGTGACAAGCGAGGCCTAAGTAAAACAGATATGTATCCGAGCGAGGCTCTAAGCCAGGCGGGGCCTAGAGCGGCGGGGCCGTTATAGCGGGTAAGGCCCGAGGTAGGGGGCGAGGCCCAAGATAGCGGGTGTGGCCCAGTATGTGCAGTATGTGGTTATGCATGGTATGTGGTAGGGTGGGGAACTCTCTAAGCTTCGTGCTTACGGTTTTCAGTTTTGGTTTCAGGTACTTCCGGTAGCGGAGGGAAGAGCTCGGGGTGATCGCATGGCACACACCATAGATTAGACAGCCTGAGAATGTTTTACTCTGATAACGAACATGTGTTTTGGAAATTAATACTCTGTTTATGTTTTGGATTGATGATTTGCTTTAAGTAATGTTTTATTAAAAGAAATTTTAGTCTTAAATTTTGGGTCGTTATATATATATATATATATATATATGAAGTATTTTTCTTTTAATTTGTAACAACGGTAATTTTTTACTTAGAGCCGGTTTGTTGTAAAGATGAGATTTAGAACCGGAAAATCGGACCGGAACCAGAACCGTTAGAACCAACCGGTTCTAGTTCCGGGTTCAAAAACTGGCTTTATCCGGGTTCCGGGTAATCCGGGTTTGGGTCCATCGGGTTCGGGTCTAAAAATCGAAACCGGTTTTTTGTAAAACGTTTAAAAGATACATATCTCATTCGTTTCAACTCTGATTGAAGTTTTCTCCAACATGTTGTTTAGAGTTTGTACATAATTTTAGATTATAAATTTGTCATTTTTAGTTTTATATTCAATAACTTATAGTCCCCAAAGTCGATATATCAAAGCTGGAAGTTTTTAATTTTTAATTTTTTTTGTATTCTGTGAAAGTTTTAAAACATACATATCTAATTCGTTTGAAGTCGGATTGACATGTGGTTTTTTCCAACTTATAGTTTACAGTTTATACATGATTTTAGACTATAATTTTGTCATTTTTGGTTTAACATTCAATGATTTACAGTCATCCGAAGTCAGGATATCAAAACTGAAAATTTTCAACTTTTCAGCGCTTTTTTTTTTTTTTTTTTTTTTTTGTACTTTGTATTATGTGAAAATGTTAACACATGCATATCACATTCGTTTAAAGTCGGATTGATATGAGGTTTTTTCCATAGTGTATTTTAGAGTTTGTACATAATTTTAGACTATAATTTGTTAATTTTGGTTTCATATTCAATGAGTTACAATCCTCCAAAGTTGAGATATCAATATGAAAATTTTCAAAGTTCAACCTACTAAGTAGTAAGTAATTACCAAAAAATTCCAGTTTTTCGGTTCTAAACCCACTTTATCCGGTTCCAACCTACCCACTTTGATGTTTTCGGGTTTCCCGGTTCTAGACCCACTTTACTCGGAACCGTACCCAGAACCGAACCGAAACCGGTTCCTATATACCGATCCGGTTTCTGGTTCTACAAAATCCCATTAACCAGTTCTGGATTTTTCGGGTGCGGGTCCATCCGGTCCGGATTTGGATCCACTTTCATCCATAGTATATTGTATCTTATAAACTATCTAAAACTAGTTTATAAGTTATTTCATTAAGCTATCTAAAACTAGTTTATAGATCATAAGGGTTTTTGTTTTGGCAAAATAACTTGTACTATCTAAAACTAGTTTATAAGCTTGATTTTACTAAACACTAATTAAAATACTTTACCCTATTAGCTTTTTTTTTTTTTTTTTCAAAATGACATAAATTGTTAAGAGCATCTCCAAAATTGTTCTTTTTTTTTTGTAATATATTTTTACTATTTGGTTGACCACTTATCACAATAAAATATCATTGAAGTGAAGAATGGTGTTTACTTTTTGTATTATCACTAAGATCACTCCCATTGGTGACTAATTACATTAGTTGGTTGGGTTGATAATTAAACTAAAAATGATAATGGTTTTTTAACACCATATCTACTTTTGAAATACACCGCAGTTTATACCAAGGTTATCAAGATCAGGATCCTATATATGATCGTTTTTGGGTTTGCAAGATCGGGATCCTAAGATCCCACAAAATAAAATATAATTTTAATTTATAATTTTAAATCATGAAAAATAGTTCAAACATTCAATTTTTTGTTCAAAAGTTATAAAAACTTCAAAATATTAGTCATAAGGTATAACACAAAATGATAAATGTTAAATTGGTAAGGGTAAAAGACATATAATGATAAAAAAAACTAATTTGCAAAAAAAAAAAAATCAAGGGAGGTAGGATCGGATCGGATCTCGATCCTACGATCCTATTTACGATCTTACGATCCTACCTGCGGTTCTACCCCAAATACGATATTTTTACGATCTGGATCGTTATTCATACCTACGATCGTAGGATCGTACGATCCTACGATCAGGATCGCGATTTTGACAACCATGGTTTATACGGTTGACTGTGTTTTAGTGGTTATCAATAATCTCTTTTTATATTTTCCAAACATTTATAGCTTTTTATTTTTTCTAAACATTTTAAGCTTTTAAGAAAAACAAAATCAACACAAAAAGAACGATATTAAAAGTCATCAAAAGCTATTAAATATGATGGATAATTAAAGCTCACCCGAAAATTTAATCTTAATCTAAATAATCAACATTGCTAGAAAAATTCTTCACTGGAATATGTAAAGTTATTCCGGCCGAAAACATTCAAAACCTCATATGAGAAAAGTTATTCCGGCCGTTAGCCATCGACGTTGTCCTCTTTTCCCATTCCACCTAATTGTGTCTTCTCGGTCGGTATCCTTTGTTGCCATTGTCATTTTCTGTTCTTCTCCGTGTGTTACCGGAAAATAAAGCATTACTTCTCTCTGTCTCAGGTAATCGGTTTTCTTTTACTTTCTGGTGTACATCTTTTTGATTTCACCCCGTTTTTCTGCTTTTATTTCCCCTAAACCAAAGTCAAACAAAGCTTATAAGTTATACCATACCACAGATACCAAGCCACAAGGAAAAAAAGATCTTGGTATCTTTCTAAAAGAAATAAACATCACAGGCCTTTGCTAATTCACGCGATACTATATCCCTTTTTTTTTTTGTCTTTTATGATGATTTTTTCGTACAACCAAACACGTTTGTTACATCATTTTTTCCTTTTTAATTTTTGGGAATATGACTTATTAAGGTAATTAACTTTTCGGTATGTTTACATCTGGGTAACTAACTTTTTTTTGTACATATGTAGGTAACAAACTTTTTGGGAGTGTTCACATATGGCCATTATGACTTGCTATAGCAGGTTAAATCCTAAATGTGAA